TGGTGTAGACACGCGAGTGGAAATGTGACTTCTTAAAGGTCCTTTTCCACCATCCCTCTTGGTCTTCGGTTCCTCTTTCTCTTTTCTCCTCCCTGCCTGCCCCGATGAGCCAGGGAGGGACGAGTGGGCTGTGGGATTGATTTCCCAAAAAAGCCCTCAAGTCTTGAGAGGTTGTTTTAAACTAAACTGTTAAAAGCCGTTGAGAATGAACATTAAAGGGTATTTTTATCATTGGTGAGAAAACCGAATCACTTGTTCCCCTCTGGTTTTGTATACCTAGAGCCTTCCCTGCACCAAAACTCCCAATTATTAAACTCTTCAGCGACAAGGTGTAACATCCTGAGTACGATTGATAAATAGGATGCTTCTCTCACGATGTGTGCATCGTGAGCTTCTGAGTTTCTGAGCTTAATTGATGATGGTCAACCCCAGAGAACCACCCCCTCCAGGCTGATTATCTCTTCTACTGAGCCCCAACTGTATTTCTTTTTTTTTTTTCCCAGCTCTGCCTGAAGAGCGTGCGGAGCCAATAAAAGGAAGCTAAATGACATGCAAATGAAAAAAATGTATATTACTTTTGTTTTTCAATTAAGAAAAGCCAACTCCCAGACAATGCTAGGGTTTCTCTGGATCTGAGGCGCGTGCAATCGCCCTAAATGGGCAAAAAAGCAAGTTGAGTCTTTCTCGGCAACAATGGTTGGGGTCTTCCAGAACTGGAGCCAACTGGTGGATAATACTGGGGAAGATCTTCCAAGTAACTCCCCTCCCACCCGACTCCCTGGATAAATGCAGTTTTTCCATTGCCTTTCTTCAGCTTTCTGGTTCCACATGCCTCAGTGACACGGAAAACTAACTTGCATACCAAAAACCCTGCAACACCCTTTATTAAAACAACAACAAAAACAAAGCGACATCCCATCTCGGCTCCTAACGCTCGGCCCCAAGGTGCCATTTGCTGGCAGATGGATGGAAAGGCAGGAGAAATCCATCTGGCTGGGATCCCTGCTCTGCCAGAATCCGTGCACGGGAGACCCTCCGTGGACGTGACCCTTTGTCGCTCACCCGTCCAGCCTTGCCTTTGCCGTTGTCTGGCTGTCCCCATTATGGCCGTGTGACTTGGTAGAGGCCAACTCCACCTTCTGACGCTTGGGAGGGTGCGAGTACATCTCGTTTTGTCCTGCTTTTGGCCAAGCTGATCTCTTAAGTGTGGCTTTTTTCATTTTCCCAGCGGGAGCTTTGGCTGGGAAAGGGTAGGAGCAAAGTTTTTGAGCTGAACAGAGCTGAAACAGATGAAATGTTGGCATTGTACAGCTTACTTTTTCTATTTATCTATTTATTTATTTAGTAAAATGTCGTTCAGTATCTCAAGAAGCAGAAAATCTATCTCTAACGTAGGCGTGCAACTGCTGGTTGAAGGAGGTGGTTTGAAGTGTTAAGAGCAACCAGGCAAACGTTGTCCTTATACCGCAGTGGTCAGAAACTATAAAATTCCTTGTTGGAGATGGGGAGAAAAGCTTTGGAAGCCTGAAACCTGGTTGCTTTTACCCACTCCATCAGTTGGTCTAAAAAGATACTGCCTCCTTGCTTTGGTTTTTAGAATGAATAAAGCGATTTATGGAAGCTGGAGGAAAAAGTTTTTACAATTCCTGTTTGCGTGCCAGAGGAGAAGGGGATAAAAGAAACCTCTATAATAAAGTTGAGAGTCGAGGGGCTTATTTGAACCCCTGTTTTGGGGAATAAACCCCCCCTGGCTGAGGCTGGCCTCCTGCTTTGCCGCTGCAATAGTTAAACTGAGCCTTTCTGGGGAAAAGGAAACCGAAAGCTGGGCTGAAAAGGCAGTGGGTGAAATCGGGGAGTTGCCTGCTCTATTTTACCTTTTAAAAGGCCGAGCTCTCAGATGAGCTCTGGAGATGGAGTGAGATGCGAGAGCTTGAGAGTCATACGTACAGGAAACCTTGAATCATTTCTCAGCTTCCTGGAAAATGACGTGGCGAGGTTATCGTCGTGTTTACTAATGATCATCCCATGGCTCCTACTGAGCCGCTCAGAAAGATGTCTTCCCTACCAGCACCTCAGTCTCGGATGCCAACGGGGCTCGACTGGGTCCCTTTGAAACGCCTGCCCATGTCCCCTGGCAATAATAATTAATAATCAAGCCCAGGGAACAGAGTGCGGGCACCCCAAGGGTCTGTTCTCTTTATTTTGGGGGGAAGAGGGGTTGCTTTGTGCAGCGAGTGTTTTTATACGTTCCTCGCAGAGCCTGAAAAACTTCAGAACTCCCCTCGTCCCCCAGCCACGTAAAAATTTAGCCTTTAACCTTGCAGAAGGAGCAGTGGTGTGTCTTTAGGGCAGATGCTGGCCCTTTTCAGGGGGAGGAGATAGTGGGGAGGGACAGAAACCCTCTCCCTCTCCTCCTCACCCATCGCTGCTTTGAAAACAAACGGGCTTGGACTCGGGGCAGGGGTTTTGATTCCTCCTGCCAGCCCCCTCCTGCTTTTCTGGCTCTGCCTGTCCCAAGTGGGAAGGAAGCCCGTCCGTCCATCCGTGGTGGGGCTTTGACCAGCAAAGCTCCCCCCCCTCCTCGCACCCCCAGCCCCACGTGGGCAGCTCTGCGGCACGTCCCCGGGAGCCGCACCAGGGAGCAGGGAGAGGAACCGGGCTGGGGCAGCCAGGGCTGAATTTCTGCGGTTTTTGTTCCGCCGAGATTCCCGGCGTGGGGATCGCTGGGAGCCGGCCAAGGAGCTTGGATGGCAGCCGACCCCTTCCTCCGCTCCGCTCCGCTCGCTCCCTGGCCCCCGCCTTTCCTTTTTCTCTTTTTTTTTTTTTTTTTTAATTGCATAATACGCTAGAAAATGATCTGGATTTGGGACTTATTTTTAACCAGAAGAGGCTCGCTTCTCCCACTCTGATTTAGCGTCCAGCAAATCCTTTCTGAAGCTCCTTCGTTTCTGCGCTGAGACCCTGACTTCTTTTGCCCCCTCTCTTGCTTTGTGAGGGGCTCTTTGCATTTAAAGGTCTGTCTGGGGGATGTTTTGCACGTCCCTGGCTACCTTGTCCCTCCGCAGGCCCGGTGGATGGCCATCAAACTGGTGTTGGACCAGCCTGGTGCAGTCATGGACCAGGGGAAAATAGTCATGGACCATGGGGGAAGTGGGAATTGTACTCAAATAAGCAAAGTGAGTTTTGTCTCCTGGATGATGGACACATAATAAAGCTCATACAAGAGGATTTGGGGTTAAAAATCTACATCCCTGTTGCAACTTCTCTCTGGGTAGCTGGAAAGCATCTTCCACTTGTTTTTTTTTATTTGTTTGTTTGTTTTGGTTTTTTTTTTTTTTAATTAAAAAAAAAGGAGAATGGTCATGGCATTTTATTCGCATTTTGTTAAATGGATGGTGGTGGTTGCTGACCCCCGAGGCCCCCACCCCCCCGTTGAGATGCGTACGGTCACGGCACGGCAATTCCTTCGTTCCTCCCCGTTTGGGGTGGGGAGGGAGGGGAGGGATCTTCGTGTCACAAAAATAATGGTGACAAAATGAGGCTGGGACTGCTGCGCCGCGTCGAGGAACGTTTCCAGGCGCTCGGAGACATCCTGGGAGAGGCAGCGCTGGGGAACGAACTGCCCTACTTAACTCTGAGCTCAGAAATGATTTATGACAGCAGGGCAAGTTTTGGTAAAATTCCCTTGGTTTCCCTCTTTGAGATCTGCCGCCGTCTGACCAGGAGAACAGCACAGGCGTTGGTGCTGATTTTTTTTGTTCTTCTTTAGAAAGCCCTTTGGCCTCTTTCTGTTCTGGAATGGAACCTGGCGTGGATGCAGTCCCGAGGGAGGAAGGTGCTTTGATGGGGGGAGTGAAGACAAACAGTGTGTGAGGAGGGATGGCTGTTCGGTCCGTGGCCAGCAAACTCCTGAAAATCTCACCGGAGGAAGCCGTGGCCAGGCAGGAGCTGAGGGAAGGATTTCCAATACCACCAGCTGAAAATGCTTCAGCAACCTGCTGCTGTGGGCAGAGATGGGGATGCAGTTCATCCCCCCCCAACCCTGCCCATGTGGGGGTCAGGCAGGGTGCCCGCTCCCACCCGGAGAGGGAGTCTTAGAGCTCCCACCCGGAGAGGGAGACCTTAGAGCCCCTTCCAGTCCCTAAAGGGGCTCCAGGAGAGATGGGGAGGGACTCTGGATCAGGGAGGGGAGCCATAGGATGAGGGGGAAGCGTTTTGAACTGCAAGAGGGGAGATTTAGATGAGATCTCAGGAAGAAATTCTTGGCTGTGAGGGTGGTGAGAGCCTGGCCCAGGTTGCCCCGAGAAGCTGTGGCTGCCCCATCCCTGGAGGGGTTCAAGGCCAGGTTGGAGGGGGCTTTGAGTGTCCCTGCCCAGGGCAGGGGGGTGAGACTGGATGGTCTTTAAGGTCTCTTCCCACTCAATCCATTCTGTGATTCTATGATTCTGTATATCCTGCTGTGCCAAAGGGTTGAGTCTCCCGACTTCACCAGGGAGGTTTCTCTCCGTAGACAGTTGCTTCATGAACACACTTTTGAATAGAGGGAAATTTGTTGCAAGGACCTGGGTGTGTTACGTTTGTGTTCCCAGGCAGAGCACTGCAGCAGTCAGGAAATTTAGAGGACTGTTCCGTATCGTACCGGTGGGTTGTACAGATATTTGGGGACCACACGCTTCACCTGCGCCAGAGTGAAATTTGCTGCCACCTTTTATTCCAAGCAATTCCTGCTTGGAATTTGCCAGCGTAGCCGGGCTTAGCCACGATGCTTCTGCTTCCCCATAATGCTGCTGAGGGCCAGGAATGAGTTCTTTACGTGGCCCCGATTCCTCTCGTGACTGTCAGGGGTAGGCGAGGAGGGGACAGAGGAACCGATGGGACAGAGGGACCAGTCCATCCCCACTGCCTATGGAAGGAAGTAGGTGGGCTGGGGTAGTGAGAAGAACAAGCTTCAGGCTTTGCTGGCTTCATCAGTCTCTTCTCTTTTTTTTTTTTTTCTCCAGATATATGTTGGGGAAAGGAGGAAAGCGGAAGTTTGACGAGCATGAAGATGGGCTGGAAGGCAAAGTGGTGTCTCCCACTGACGGTCCCTCTAAGGTGTCTTACACCTTACAGCGTCAGACTATCTTCAACATTTCCCTTATGAAACTTTATAACCACAGGCCATTAACCGAGCCCAGCTTGCAAAAGACAGTTCTAATTAACAACATGTTGAGGCGAATCCAGGAGGAACTCAAACAAGAAGGCAGCTTGAGGCCCGTCTTCGTCACCGCTTCCCAGCCCGCCGACCCGCTGGGGGACAACTTCCGCGAGGCCCAGCCGGCCTTCAGCCATCTGGCCTCCCAGCCCCTTCTCCCCGCCGACCTGGTAAGCACTACGCCCCTGGAGTCCTGCCTCACCCCGGCCTCCTTGCTGGAGGACGACACTTTTTGCACTTCCCCGACGGTCCAGCACGATGGTCTGACGAAACCGCCACCTCCTGCTCTCCAACCAGTAAAGGACAGCTTCTCCTCAGCCTTGGACGAAATCGAGGAGCTTTGTCCAGCACCTACCTCCGCAGAGGCAGTAGCAGCCCCAGCAGCAGCCGCCGCCGCCGGTGACTCTAAAGACCACCCCAACGAGTCCAACGGCCAAAAGGCCGAGGGCCTCTCGGAGAGCAGAACGGCCGAGTCGAAACTCATGGACCCCCTGCCCGGCAACTTCGAGATCACCACTTCCACGGGTTTCCTCACAGACTTGACCCTGGATGACATTCTCTTCGCCGACATCGACACGTCCATGTATGATTTCGACCCTTGCACGTCCGCCACGGGGGCCGCCTCCAAAATGGCGCCCGTCTCGGCAGACGAGCTCCTAAAAACCCTGGCTCCCTACAGCAGCCAGCCAGTAACTCCAAATCAGCCTTTCAAAATGGACCTCACAGAACTGGATCACATCATGGAGGTGCTCGTTGGGTCTTAAAAATAGAGAAATATAGCAACTTTTTTTTTTTTTTTTAATTAATTTTAAGTACCAGTATATACACTCGGTAGGATTTCCATAGTTCCCTCCCAGCCCCCGATTCACAGCACTGTGCATGCGTCCTTGCTTGCCTTTTTGGAAAAGAAAAGGATCACACACTAGTTTTTTGCTTCGAGCAGAGTTGGAGTGCCTTCATCCATGTATGACCACTTCTAATGTATTTTTTTTTAAAGTGGTTCCTCACGGAAGACCGAATATCCTGGTATAAGGAAAGAATTATGTATCGTAGACGACGTTATGTTATTACAAAAACAGGAAAAAAAAAAAAAGAGAAAAAAAAAATTGTCAGAGCTAAGCACAAGGATTATGTTGGGGAAAGCTGTAAATTGCATGTGCATATTTGTCTATTTTTTCTATAAGTTTTATTGCAAGAGGTAAAAAAAGTTTTATTATTTAGATAATCTCAATACCATTTTAGCCCCGTATAGGTTGACTTTAGCAATTCAGCCTTTGGGAGGCATTAACCTGCTCCTCTTTAAGTGTTGCATTTACATGGCTGTTTAGAAACTGCTGCCCAAATTTATTTTATATTTTTGTACAGATTCTGCAGTTTATGATATTGTTTTTTCTAAAAACAAATGCTGTTTATACACACAAAAAAAAAAAAAGAAAAAAAAATAGCTATTTTGATAGGATTTGCTCACATAGTTCCTGCATAATTCAGATGTACAAGAACCACTTGTACTTTTATACAGAGTTGTAACGTTTTATATGTGTATGGTGCAAAGAGAAAAATCGGATCAAATAAGCCTGCAGTTGGTTTCCCTGAATGCAAACAAACAAAAAAACAAACAAAAAGAAGTGCTTTAAGAAAGGGCTGGGAGCTGATTCCCCCAGGAGTGTCACGAGTGTTTGCTCCCCGCCGTCCCCACTGCGCACTACTGTGATTCCCCACACTCAGAGCCATGTCCTTTCTCCAACGCCAAGCCCTTGGCAGGAAAAAAAAACAACGCTGGTGGAACTTCACCCCCAGGAGCTGGAGCCCGTCCCACCTCCACACGGCAGAGCTTCCCTCACCCCGACGCTCCCGGTGACCGGTTCGGAGGGGTTTTGGGGTGGGGGATTAGGGGGGGACGGAGGGGGAAAACATGCCCAACGTCCCACTGAGAGCCAGCCCCACGGGCAGGGATCTTCCCGACCCACGGGCAGAAGAATTGGCCCTTTTCTTGGAGCGTTTCTCTCCTTCCCACCTCCCTGCGCTGAGTGCTGGAATTAAAAAAAAAAAAAAGACACCTGAGAAGTCTTCTCATTACTGCACCAAGAGCATTTTTTGGTTTTTGTTTTTTTTTTTAAATTTTATCTTTTTTGTTCTGTTTTTTTAAAAGTTCATTGTGGTGTACATTTAATTTAAAAGAAAAAAAAATATGTTTGCAATGTATCATGCCTATTGCTGAAGTCGCTACGGCATTTTAGGTTTTGTTGTTTTTTTTTTTTCCAATGGTACTTTTTAGCTGTCGAGCGCCGGTTACAACCTATATTGTTGTATTGACATGCCTATGGCTTCTTTAGGAATTAACTTTTATATTTATTTAAGAAACTTTAAATTATGTTTTACGTTCATTTGGCAATATTCAGTCCGTTCTGCTCCCTTCTTGTCATGGATGAAAATTGGGTCTTGCCTGCCTTCGCAGGAGGCGGCTTTTTTTTTTTTTTTAAGAAATTGGCACTTTAAACCGGGCCATATGTATTTATTAATTAGTGTATCGTAGGTGGGGGGGGGGGGGGACAGGGGAATGCACACAGCACGGGGAGAAAAAAAAAATGTT